TCCGGTGCTCCACGCCCACGCCAGGCTACAGAGGAATCGTTTTATAGCGAGCGCTTTGGGACTCATAGTGTCTGCAGATTATTGTCCGGATCTTAGACTTAGCAGCAATGATCGGAATGTGAGGTTCGTTCCGATTTGTCGATTTACTTCTACCTGATTTCACCGATTACGCTCCTCTGAGCTTCACATGTGGCCCACGGGAAAATTGAAGAGCGCACTGAACCATGCTGTGGCATCGAAATGATGCAGTACAGTATTTCTCCGTGTTCCACCGTCAGGAGACAAACGATAGCGAAGAGGTTAATGTTGCATCCAATCCCACTCCGCGACTGGCCAAGCAGACTGCTCCGAGCAGATGATTTCAGCTCACATTAATTTTAATCAGGCAGCCGGTGCGCTGATAGCAACCGAGGCTTCTCCTCTGGCTATGACAGAATGAGCTACACATACTAGAAACGACAGAGGTGGGCGTTGGGAAGGTCCTGAAGGACACCTGTTTAAAGCGGGAGTCAACGACTGGACGCATACAGGAATGATGGAGGTGTCGACGTTGTTCTGACTGCAAATCATCAATGACATCCCTGTGAGCACTGCCCGAAAGAGCCTGGGTGGTTGCCGTGATTGTAGACTTTTGTCAGGCAAGCGCAGGCCTCTTCAATACTCCGAAGCCAGATTACGCACTGTTTATTCTACACCGGTGACAATATGTCAACCCTTTGTGAAAAGCAGAGCTAGCCCAGGTGCGGGACTGGCTTGGCTTGGCTGCTGCTGCGGCCACTGGAGGAGGAGCGGGAGGAGGAGGAAGAGGAAGAGGAGGAGGATCCGCCTCCTCTGCGCCGGCCCAGAAGATTGTGTTTCATGGACCTGTGCCACGCCTGATTTGCGAATGCTTCTGTGTGTTCCCATCTGACAAGGGCGAAATCATGAGCAGGAACATTAGAGATAAGCGTCCAGCCCCGCTAGTCATCCATGACAGCAGGCATTCTTTTGCAGCAGTGAGCAGCGCGAGATCGCAAGACTCCCTCGCAACGCCCTCAGACTCACAACACCATTTCCCATGCACCCCATCTTGTCCCCATGTTTAATAACATCCTGGTAATTGACCCCTCGTACCTTTCACTGCCACAATCGCAAGCTACCCCATGACTAATCTCCGGTGTGCCACAATCTAGTCGTGGATGCCAGTCGAGCCCAACTTGGGGTTGGGGTTGGGGCTAGCTGTCGAGTCCTAGCCAGTTGACTGACTGCAAGGGAGGAAGCACCTCCTGCCCCTCTTTGGGTCCTAGCTAACTAGGTTGGGCTGGGTTAGGTTAGGTCAGGTTAGGTTGACCAGCTTCTACCGGCGAGACAGAGCCGACACCCAAGGTTTTCCTCCTGTTCCCGGGCGACTCCGGCAATGGACCAATCGAGGCACGGCACATTCCGGTACACCACTGACGTGAGTGAGCGCGCGAGCGGGTTCGACGCCAAATCGGCGTCCGGAATGGAATCTCCCGAGGAGGTTCTGTGATTATCCGGCGGCCCGCCAGCTGCTGCCGCTTCTGCGGCTGCAGAGCTGGCTGTTCGGAAGTTCGGAAGCTCGGAAGGAAGAGAACTGCTAGGGCGATTCGGACGGATTCCCACGAAGATTCTCCGCGGGCGCCCGCGGCGCGCTCGGCATCTCGGGAGGACATCGCGGGGGGCGGGGGGCAGGGCTGCGGTGGATATTCCGGCGGAATAGCTGCCCAGCAGACCGTAGCGCTCTGGCACGCGAAAGGAGGTCCTCCGGTCTTCCCCGCGGGCAGTTAATTCCATTTGCAGCCGAACAACCGTTTGACCCGAGTATAATAACCGCTGTCCCATTGGGAAGTGCCAAAAGAGTACTTATAGGTACGTCCCCGACATCTTGAAAGGGGGCGAGGGGAGAGAAGAACGCTCGGGCCCCGAACAGTGCCTCGACAGGAGATGAGGGTTATCGGAAGGCGGACTGCGATTTTGGAAAAGGAGGAGACAAGTTGCTTTTGAAGGAAGGACGGGAAAGGGGCAATAAAATCTCTATCGATCCAATCGCCGTCGAGCATGCAGACGCAATATATCTGCAGTGGGATCAGTCGTCGTACAGGGCTTCGACTGATCCTATTCCAAATCTGTACTGCGGAGCACGGAGAGCACCTGACACCTTGCGCAATCATCGAGCGACTGGTATGCAAGAAGGCCATAAATTTTTGGAATTAAATCTCCCGCGAAAGCCTGAAAGATAATGAATTTGCTCGATGCCGATATTGCCAATGTGCCCACCCATCGGGAAATCTGTCTTCCGCTCATTCGAAGCGTTTGGCCGAATCGAATGGGCTATGTGGCGAATTGACTTCCGTACTGAACAGTTTCTAGAAGGGTTGTGGAATTCAGAGGAGAAACAGTGCTGCTGCTGCTGCTGATGCAGTTACGGCCTCCTGTCCGGGCTCAGAATCCAACAGCTTCTGAAGCTCTGTTCATTCGCAACATGGCATTGCGTGCCGCTTCCTGCCTTTCAGTTGCCACCGCTCCACTCGCGATGGGGAATAGCTCGCAGGAGAATCCCTAAAAAGTACTCGCGAGATGCGAGCATGCAATACTCCAGAAGAACACATAAGCCTAGCGCGCGCGCCAAATTTGTTCTGCAGAGCTTGTACTTCGTCACGCAGATGTTAGCCACCCGTCGTATTCTCGTTATTGCCCGGGCTGTGGGAGCCAGCGACAGGGGAGTGAGAAAGCGATAATATAATGCAAGTGATGCTGGTCTCGCCGGATGGGCTTGGGTCCTGAATCTGGGGAATGGCGCCAATCATGAATTTGGCTGCCGAACTACAACAATGACAACAATAAACGAGGAAAGGAAAGAGAAAGATCGAACTCGTGTGCGTTCAAGGAACTCTTCTTTCCCTGCTTTTGCAACCGGATGGATCAGGCTAGCGTGCGTTTTCGAGACGGTGACTCGATGCGACACTTTGAGGATCTGATTGTCGACGTTCCACCAAGGTGACGAACGATGATAACAACGAACGCCAGATGCTGGGATGGTAGAAAGAGTATCCTCGGGAGTGGCAGACGACGCAGTCGCGGCGAGGTCCAATGTGCGACCCGCTTCTCTCGCAGGGCACTGATGAAAGCAGTTCAAAGGCCCAAAGCAGGGATAAGCGCAAGTGCTTTCAGCCAACTATCGTCAACTCGCGATGCTCCGACGCGGAGAATGCAAGCACACATCCCGAAAATCTTCCCTTTGCATCGGCACACTCCGCGGCGTGCAGCAAAAGCGGACCTGGGTGACAATGCAGGGGAGAAGAAGAGGCATGGGATTCGACCATTGCTCCTTTTGTTCACCGAGATCTCGAGTTGGTGAGGAGAGGAGGCCTATCGCTCACATGAGCATCGGTGCGAACCCCCTGCCTCCACTGCGCAGGACCTGGTGAGCTCGGCCGCTCATGATGAAGCCAAGAACCGCAAACCGTAAGCACGCCAACCAAAATTGCAAAATATTCCAGGCAACGATGAGTCTCGCGTTGAGATTGTCCTTACATAACACACATGGCAACACCTCCGGCGCGTGAAGCTCGACGAAGCCTGGATAATTACAGGCCGCAGAAGTGGCCGGACTCCACACGGCACGGACATCTGCGCGTGCCTCTCGAAGTGGCTACGATGATGAGACGTTTGACCGCAAAATCTCCCCCGGTCTGGACACCCAACTTGACAAATCCGAACGAGCAGATGCGAAAGCGCAAAAGCGCGGTAAAGCATCCGTAGTGTCGAGCCGTCGGCGCTACACACGAGAGCAGACATCCAGACGGGACATCATGCATCGCCACTTTCCATGAGCACCGAAAAGCGAAACCTTAAGATAAGAAAAGAAAAAAAAAAACAGAAATAAAGAAATGAAGCACGTCTAATTCTTTTCTCCGATCGACATAAACCTCGTGGCGCTGGACAGCAGCCTTTCTTGACGTCGCAATGCAACGGTCGTTGCGAGAAAGATGCGCGTCTTGGGCCGCCCCGCTCCATCGAGGCGGAGAATATCGAAATCTCCCCTCGCCTCCGAGCCATGCTCGCGCTCCCGCTCCCGCTTCTGCTTCGAGCCCTGAGAGAACGCGTCCACACAACGAAATCATGGAAATGGTCGTCCGGAATTAGCAGCCGAAAATCGCGATCTCTGCTGGTCTGGAAGCCATGCCCTATTGCGCGAGAATATAGACTCAACGGACACACCAGCTGGTGTGAAATGCGCGATATTAAACACGTCGATGATGGTTCGGGAGGAGTGAGGGTCATGAGAGAACCCAAACTTAGTGTTGCCAGCGGAGACGCCATTTTTTAACCTCGGAAAGGCCTTCGGCAGTTAAGTCTCTTCCCGCCGCTAAGAATAGCATGGCACGCAGGTAATGATTGCGCGCGAGCGTGGACCTTTGATGATCTGGAGGGGTTATGAACGCCCGGAATTCGTTGCAATAGGCGCGAGGACATGGCCGAATGTGTTTCACATCCTCCCATCCCCGAGTGTATGCAGTGCTCGTTTTTGCCAATTCGGATCTTCGTGGAATTGTGCGCATTCTTCTTTACTACGCCACGCTTTCTTCTAGACCCGAAATTGAAACTTTTCCTCGAGTTTGTCGACGGGACTATGACCATTCAGAATGTCAGGGCTCATTTTGATGATTTGGTCTTACCCTGACAGACGACGGCTCCGAGGTCACACTCGAGCCTGTCGGTTCTCTCGGACCTGGGTTTCCTCGTGTTGATTGGACGGGCAGCCCTGCGGGTATGTCTGAATGGGCCTTCCATAGATGACGCCAGAGGTGCAAGAACTAGAATCGACGGAAACGATTCTCCGAATCCTGACCTCTGTTCGAAAGCTCAGAAGGCATCTTTACAATCAATCGACAAATGCGAGAGCGAGGGTGTCACAATACACCGACCCCAGGCGCAAAGCCTTCATAATGAAGAGAATGCATGAACGGTCACTGAGTAACACACCACAACGAGAAGATGGAGGGACACTGTCGCTTTATTTGTGAACTTAAAGAATAGTACAATGTGGTCAGAGATCTTTTTACCGCTGACCATCAAGGGTGCTGGGATCTGAGTATGAGTCTATGGAAATTATTTTTTCAAGACATGGAATTCGCGCCCACTTCCGTAAGTTGAAACCTGTGGCTACTACCTGTTCTTCCTATCTATGCGTCTTGCAGGGTATGTCGATATCTTGGTAACGTCCATCAACACTTAATTGAACGCGAACGATGTTCCCAAAGCAGCAGCGGCTGGGAACAGGTTCAGGAAATCCCCAAATCCCCGTGGGTACCTTTGCTTGTATGAATGTGCGGCTTGGGGGCTCGCAAACTGCCCAGATTAGCAGCCACTGGCTTTCTTCTGCAGCTGCTCGGCGCTTGCGCTCTTCTTCGGAGCGACAGTTCCGTCATTGCCAGCCAAGACGCTGTACTTGTCCTTCCGAGTGAAGTTGGTACACTCGAAGCTGAGGGTGCCAGCCACCACACGCTGGATGTAGTTCGCCACCTCGTGACTCGTCTTTCCGCCAGTGCATGTCAGTTCCAACGGCAGCTGATTGAGAAAATTCACCTCGTACACGGGGCTGGGATTCATGAAGAAGAAGAAGGGATCCATGCCCTTCCAGCCCGTGGCCGTCGTTCCGTGGAACATGCTCATTCTGTTGTACATGGCGACCGGCACAATCTGATCGGTCAGCTCCGCGAACAGAGCGCTGAATCTGAGCAGGAAAGGCTCGCGGCACGTCGTGCCCTCCGGGCAGATGGCCAAATCCCCCTCCTCCAACAGCTTCCGAATGTTGGCGGCGTCGGACTCCCGGTTGCGGGTGAGCGCCACGGTCTTGATCGGCGACAGGAACTCGGACACTCGCGAGATGGAGTACGTGACCGCGCTGACGGGGCGTCCGAGAGCCACGGAGAGGAAGATGGGATCCAGCAGCGTTCTGTGCGAGCAGACGAACAGCACCCCGAGCTTGCCCTCCTTCTCCTTGACGGGCGCGGGGGGCGCTCCCCTCACAATCACTCGCACGCCCAGCAACGTAAAGGCGTAGTAGACGATGGACATCGGCAGCAGGGAACCGGCAGCGATGCGCAGGAACGCCAGAAGAAACCCAACCGGCAGCCAGACGAGGGTGATGAGCGCGTTCAGGGGCTCCGGGCGGCACACCAGACGCCCGTCGTGGAACACCAACGGCTTCGGAAGATTCTCGCGCGGAACGGCCTCCACCTTCGTGTCGGGCACGATGTACGCTTCCTGCGTAGACGAAATCAGGGCCCGTGTTAGAGCGAGTGCATCGTCCGGGTTCAAGAACGGGCGCCGCGGTGGCGTGCAAATTCACAGGCCACCCCGACAGAGCAATCGCATGACATGACACGACGCGACGAGAAGGTGGCGGAACAACGCCAGGAATCATTGCAAGACATTGCGAGAACACACGTCGAAGGCGCATGCGAGGAACGATTCGGAATTCTACTTACTTTGCAGAGAGACATGAAAGGGTAGTCGGTTTTGCGGTCGCCCATTCCGACGTCGGGCTGATCATCCACGAACTTTGCCTTCAGAGCGTTCTCCTTGTTGACGCCCACCAGCACGCCAGGCGCCTTTACGAATCCAGTGGCGTAGCCTCCCTTGGTAACCTCAATTTCCGACCCAATGACTTCGTCGGCTCCCAGACATTCCTTGGCGAAAACCTCCACCATAATGCGGGGATTGGCGGTGAGGACATATCTTCTTCCGAAGGATGAGAACACCCGCCACGACTCTGGATGCAAGTCCTCCGAGTAAAACTTGGGCAGCACCGCCCTGGATACGCTCTCGATCTTCTTCGCCTTGACCCCGGAGAATGTGACGAATATCAGGAGTTTGATGCCCGCCGCCTCGGAGACGAAGTGGTACAGAATATACGCGAGCGGGGCAGCCAGGAGCAGCAGAACGGAGCGGAGCACGCCTCCGGCTTCGAACGCCACGAGCATGAAGTAAGGAAAGGAACTTCTTCCACGAACCAAGGTCCCATCGAGGTCCGACACCACAGTCTGTTTTTCCCTCCTATCAGAGCTACATTGCGAGACCAGCGGAAACGGTGGAACCTCCGCAGCTTGCTTCCCCATCGCGCACTTCGGGACTCTTGAGGGGGAAAGCTGCGCCTTCGACCACCCAACTGCGCGGGTTCAATTATACGAATCAAGTGGGTATCACACTTCCACTCAGTGGAACATTCTCTATCACACTCCGCCACCACAATTCGTGCCACCACCACCCAGGATGTGACCGGACGACCAGCTTCTTTCGTCGTTCGCTGTCACATGTCCTCCGCCCCACCCTCCCTCCCTGCCTCCCTTCCTGTCGTCGTCCTTCGCGCCGTCTTATTCAGACCTCCGAAAACTTCGATTCCCAACCTTCCCAGCAGTTGGAGGTCAGTCAGAAACCGTATGCTGCTGCTGCTGCTTCTTCTTCTTCTTCTTCTTCCTCTTCTCGTCTTCTCAGCGGCGTAACGATTGGTGGTACGAACAACGAAAGTTAAGGACAAGTAGTTCAGGTGAATGAATGCCTCGGCTCTCCTGCCTTCCTTCCTTTTGCAGTCGAAAGGAGAGGTGAGCTCGCTCTGCTTCTCACTCGATCCAGCCAGAGGCTGGCCGCGAGTACTTGTGATGCGACCGAGGAGTGTTCAGAGTTTCATTGCCTGTCTATGGAGGAGGAGGTGGAGGCAGAGGCAGAGGAAGAGGAGGAGGAGGAGGAGCTGCTGTGCGTGTAGGGTGAAGAGCAAATGGTCGGCTGTTCAGAGCTGTAAGAACTGTAGGTTCTTATAAGGCCCGCGCCAGCCCAGGCGCTAGCCGGTACTTTTTCCCTCCCCGCCGGTCCGTGCAACCGGGTCCCGGTCTCCGCCCTGACCCCCCACCCCACCTCCCCGGCCCGCCCCGCCCCGCCCGCCCCGCCCGCCCCAGGGGAGGCGACCATCCCGGACCAGCGATCCCTCCGCGGTAACTCCCTTCCACCCCGCGGATAAGCCCCGTACTAGGTCAGGGTAATTTCCTGCGCACCCCACCACCCCCACCTCCCCTCGCCTCCCGACCGAGGTCACTGTCCAAGCGAGCCCGAGGACTGCCGAGACTGGTCGTCCTTAACGAACTCTCCTCGCCTCGGCTGTTGAAGACAAGAGCCTAACGGTCCCACTAAATCTAAATTTCTGGTACATCCAAAAAATCATTTGTTTAGCCCTCCCTTCCATCGCGGAGCCGCGACGCCAGCGTACAACCAAAATGGAAAGCAGGATATCCGGTGACGAGTTTCTCCGAGGGTCCTGGCGGGTCGCAGCGCACTCGAAGTCTGCCAGGGCGACGGGTCTCCGCACACGAAGTCGCGAGTGCTCGAGTGCTCGAGTGCACTGCGCTGTTCGATCGAGTGGCCGCATTCGACAGGCAGCCCGAAACCTCGAAGCCTTGCAGCGTGCACTGAAGGGCAACGAATTTCGGTTGCGTGTTCGAGTCACGCGAACCATGCTCGAAGTCCCCTTTCCATGAAGCTCTAATGTTCACTGAGAATTGGGAAGAAATGAAATCGGAGGAGGGCGATTCTGAACTTATTGCAGCGTGCATTCGCCTCTCTATCTTCTTGATCTCATTGTCAGGATCGAAAGGAATGTCCAGAGAGCTTGTCGAACCGGAGTCATGAGGAATCACAAGACAAATTCCCAAGGTAATTCCATTTTAACACAAACAATTCAAGAAGAGCCAAGTCGTGTGAGTTAGTCGGAGAGAAGAATAGAAGTTATGAAACCAGGCCCAGTTTTGACAATCCTTCTCGATCAATGGATCCTTCGTTCAAACCCGAAGAGATTGAACGACGAATTGAACCCAAAGGAGAGATTTGAGCGAAAGTCGAAAATCTCCGTAGACCAAAGAATCCGGGGGAGGCTTTGTGTACATAAAAATGCAACGACCTCGAAACCTATAAATATAGAACATATAATCAAGTGATTCTTTCACATCGTAACAAGCAGACCAAGTGCATGAAGCATTTCTTGTGCACACACGGGGCATGAGGTGTGGCCATTTGTTACCTAAACTGAATTTCTTTAGTTTCTCTCCGAACAGAAATATAATTTAATGCCTCCATTTATCAAAAACATGGTCAAGTTTCCTTTGCCGAAACACATTGCATGCTCAATGGTTCGAGAACTTTAGTATATCGGCAGAGTGTATGCGATGTAAGAAAACCCCACTCAGCTCTAACCAAATCCACAATCAAAAAAGGTGCGAGTGACTCGTTTCGTTCTTCGACATCGTAAATCTTCTACCACAATGAAATTTTCTCTTATTGTCTGCACTCTTCCAAATGCCCAGACATTGGAATTCGGGCACAGCTTTCATTCGGATCATGAGTCCATTCTCTTTCTCGTCGTCCATGTTCACCGTCTTAGACACTGCCGCTTTCTCCTTGCCTTTCCCCATTTGTGAGGCGGAGGCACCAGCCGGGGGAGGGTCTGCAGTGGGCGGATGACTGCCGGTGACACGGATGGTCGGACGATAGAACGATGCGACCTTCCCCACGGCAATTGAAGCCCGGGGAACGATTCGGGGCGATAGCGGAGCCGGTAGAACCTGGACGTAATCACACGCGGCTGGCAGCGATTCAGACAGCGGAGAACACCGCCGGGCCTTGTGGTGAGGCCACCGGCAGACCCCGGTGAGAGCCTATTTGTCAACGCCGTCTTCGTCCGTCCGACCCGCTTTCTTCTTTCATTTCCTACGACTTCGTTCTATGACTCGACAACCCAAATTCCGGCCGAATCTAATGCACAGTTGCATTGCGTTCCCTCGATTCCAACCCGTGATTGAGGGAAGATGCTGCGACTTGTGTACTGGACCTCGCCTGATTTATGAAAACGGCTCTTGTTATCCGTCTGGATTCGCTATTACGGAAGTGGTGCACTTTCCGTACATTTCCGAACAGATGGACGGACTTGAAGCTTTTCATCCAAATGCATGAAGGTGACATTTGTCGTGCGGATGGTCTCCTTTAACCGTCATTTCCAACAGGAGTCCGTGCTAAACCGTCCTTTGGACGAGCTCTGGAAAAAAATGCACAATCCTCACATTTTCAGCTAACATTGAAAGCCAGGGACTTGAGGCGTTTATTGTTCATTTCAGTTCAGCTTTGCTATAGCGAATACTCGAGATCTAGCGGAATATGAAAAGGAAAAAAAAATTGCTTTGCAATCTCTAGATCGTGTTATAACTTGGATACACGGGCAAGGCCATAACTGAGAAAACCAGGAGCTCGATCAGAAGCTGGAATTCCCTGTCGAACAGAATGTGTGCCCTCACCATGGGCATGTGCACCCTCACAAGCGCAGCCAGCTTAACGAATCATTTCTAAGAGTCACAATTATGCTTCTTCAGACTTATATTTGATTCACCGTATATTTCAAGGAGGAGTAGTATGTATCTGCTCTAGTTGTGGGGGGGAAGGGGGGGAGAGGAGTGTCCATAGCTTTTATCAGCTATGGACCTTTCCGAATTTATTTCCTACGGTACTCGAAATCAGATAATATCTCAATGCCGGATACTGGCATGCTGTGGTTTGATATTTTCAATCAGTAGGGTTCCGACACTAGAGCATATAGTATGCGCTGCTCATGGTATAGGACACAACGATGCAGGTCACGCACAAGGTCGCTCGTGTCCAATGTCCATCCTACAGATACACAAAACTCGTAGTGAGCCGAATGTCTTCACCTCCGAGAATCAACCAGAAGACGATTAATCATCCGGCACATAGCTTCCAGCGGAAGCCGCAGGTGCGACGGACCTTTCCAACCAAACCTCTGGCACCACGCATGAAAATTCATCAAGTGTAGCCATGATTCGAGAATCCACCTCCCATGCTCTAGTCAGTAATTTCATTTGGAGCAAATTGTACGATGTACTTCACTCCCAGCGACTAGAGTTCACTAGATGTCTGGTAGATTACAACGCTTCCCTGACCACATTTATTCCCCAATGCTGGCTCGTCTGAGAAGGACCGACGGACGGTCCTGGCATGTTCTACAGCTGAGTCATTAAATTTCACGATCTGAGACCTACAGTGCGGTCAATTGCTCGACCAATTCTCTCACCGGAGGGCCGGATGGAGAAATCATCACAGGGACATCTGGAAGCACTGGGGAAGAGCATCGAAATGACCGTTCACGGTTCCTGGAGCTCCGTGGCGAGAGCGGCATCATTGCCCTCGCCAAGATCAAGAGCCCCGCTACGGAACACCTTCCGTTCGCTTCACGGTAGCCCGGCCGCCCCGGCCGGGAGGTCCTCAACGCTCGCCGTCCGATGCGCCTCCTTGGGGCGAGAGCGAGTTCCGCGTCGTCCATGTGGCAGGATGTTGGCAAGATTTCGGCGGGCGGGTGGCCGCTGCTCCAGTCTCCATCCATCTATCCATCCATCCATCCATCCATCCATCCTTCTCTCGATGGAGCGTACCGAAGAAGAACTCGAGGCAGGATGCCCCCCACTGCGCTGCGCTGCCCATGGGCGCGCCTTGACTTTACGTGAATGGGCGTCGCGGACAACGATCACGCCTGAGCGGTAGTGAATCACGCGTCGCGGAAGTCAAGATTTCTTCTTTGAACCGCATGTCAGAGCAAGGGGCAGAAAAGACCACGCGGGGGACGCGCGACAACTGATTCCAGCAGGGCAAAAGGTCTGTCGCACACAATCCCTACAGTAGGTGAATCTTCCTAAAGTCAATGTGTGGCGACGAGCCTAGAACCATACGAATCTTTACGTGGTCACTCTGGTCCTCGGACTGGAAAATCCTTCGCAAGGACTCCCGGAACCTCCAGGCCCGTTGCTGATGATTACCCCTGAGACCAACCGACACGACGAAACGTATTATATCGCAGTAAGAAATCCACCTTTTGCTCTGGAACTCGACCTTTTGATCTGCATCCTAAATGAGAACCTGAAACTTCCGATTTGCAAATGCTTCTAACAACCGACACCGAGAAATGTTTCCAATCTGAGCGACCGGCCAAAAACAACGTGGATCCTTGTAGCTGTCCCGAATTCGCAGAATCACTTGCTGGCTTTAACCTTTGAGTCATAGTCTTCAACTTTCCACATGTCGTGAACTAGGACCAAAAATCATTTTGTCATGCTCACACGCAAGCACGAGAATCATTCTATACTAGAAGTAAAGCCATGCTCAAAAGCTCTCCGCACTCCTGTGTTCCAATGGGACTGTGAGCAGACGTAGGAGCCATCGTGAAAACCGAAAGTGCATTTGTTTGTGTGCTAATCATGCTTTTGGATTCTTTGGCCAAGACGCATGCTGAAGGATGGTGCTGGTTGAGACAGCCAAAGTATGGCGCCCTATAGATATCCAGCTCGTTGGATCCTCACTTATGATGCTTTGTCATGAGTAGTTACTCCCCGACGATGTCCTGGAGTTTGCTCGAGGTTTTAGATCTTTATGAATCATTGATGGATTGCGATTTGAGACCCGAGTCCTTCTCCACGGGGACGAATGGACCGAAACACGACATGCAAAATCAGTGCCTTCGGGCGGCTCAAAGCTGACACATATTGTATCGACGAGCTCACGAGTGCTACATAACAAGCTAGCGAGTAATTGCATATCGGGTCGGAACACTTGTCTACAAATGAACATCCGAATAAGTTCAGCCAGAATCTCTTTGCAATTATAAAAGGGATTCTGTCTTACTTTGCAACGTTCCAGTTCTTCGATCTCGATCGTACTCTCTTGGCTT